AGGTAGTGACTTTGCCATAACCAGCTGAGTTCTTATGATATATTCCTGCGGCCCGCAGCAGTAGGCCACTCTGCAGCCAGGCTGGGGGGATGCGCATTGTCTCAAAGCTGTGGCCAGGCCCGGGGGAGCAGCATTGATGGGTTCTGACTGACAAGCAGATACCACGTGCAGCTGCTCTCTAAGCCATCCTTTTGGGGTGGTGTTCCGTTCTTGCCCTACGATGAGGGAGTGGGGCCTGCTCTGGGGCTCACTCTAGGCTGGCTGCAGTGTGTGGGTGTGTCTCCAGGAATGCAGGCCTTCGTACTCTGTTGATGCTGTAACAGGGGTGAAGTCCTGAGTGAGCAGTGTGGGGTGGTTCGGTTAGGCAGACTGTGCTGCCCCTGGATAGATGTGGAGGAGAGGCTCAGCTGCTGCCTATCCTCATGGGTGACTCCCTCACACGGGTTGTATTCAGCTGTGCTAGGCACAGAAGGCCGTGGCAATATCTGAGTGAGATACCACTGTCCACCAGAGGAGTAGACTGGTAAGCCTGAGGGCACCCCAACCATGGACAGTGTCTTAGTTAGGGTTTCAATTGCTGTGAAGAGACACCGTGGCCATGGCAATTCTTATAAAGGAAGACATTAATTGGGGCTTGTTTACAGTTCAGAAGTTTAGTCCATTATTGTCATGGTGGGGAGCTTGGTGGCTCATAGGCCGCCGCCGAGGAACTGAAGAGTAGCTGAGACTTCTACGTCCCAGTCCGCAGGCAGTAGGCAGAGAGAGTGGCACTGGGCCTGGCTGGAGCATCTGAAACTTCAAAGCCCACGCCCAGTGACACACTTCTTCCAACAACGCCACGCCCTGAGCATTCAAATAGAAGAATGGGGGCCATTCTTATTCAAAACATCACAGCCAGGAATAGTCTGGAGCAGCGTTCTGACCGGATGCCAGCTGTAGGAAGGAGATGTAGTTGTTGGCTGTGTTGCTGCATTGCTGGCACAGAGACGGAGGTGCTGGTCCTGACCTGGGCTGTGTGGAGAGCCTGCCGCTCCAGGCTCAGGCAGACACAGAGACGAAGGTGCTGGTCCTGACCTGGGCTGTGTGGAGAGCCTGCTGCAGACACAGAACCACAGTGAAGAGACAGAGTGGCAGTTTGGGGAGAATCTTAATTTACCAAGTGCAAGCTTAATGCCAGGAATGTTGTTCTCTGGCTTCTCTGCTGTGAGTACTTGGCTTCCTTTGGCTCAGATCTCATCATCAAGCCTGCAGCTTGGGGCTCATTAAGCCTGGTCCTTCCTTCACCCTTTGTGCCCACCTGTCATGTCCTGTTTCCCTCGATGGCTTCTCACTGCTGCCCTGTGCTGTCATTTTGGGGAGACACACCCTTCTGGGCTTCCGTTAGAACTTACTGCCCTCACCTGGTGCCTGGCCTGGTCTTCTGTGCTAGGTATGGTATGCTGTAAGTGTGCACTGCACTGCCACACTGTTGTCAGTACCCAGGTGGCTCGTGGACCCCCGACTTCTAGAATCTTCACTTCACCTTCTCGGCTCGATACTGACCAGTAGTTCCCAAGCATTGGTGACATTAGCCTGGGGTGCTGGTATTCCATCTTGTTGGCCCCCCCTAGGCCCTGTGCATTAAGGAGAGGTTAGCCCTTTGCTCATGTGAACCCTTGAGAGTAACCTGTTGTCACAAACCTGAAGATGAATGGCTGAGCTATTCATAACTCGTTCTCTCCAGAAATAGAAAGAGAGGTGAGGCCCACAGACTTCCCCAGCCAGGCTCATCAAGGGTGGGTAGCACACACCTGTGAGGAGCCAGGACTGGAGCCACCGGTTTCCTTTAGGGATCAGGTGACTGTGGCCTGCCAAGGGGGCTTCCTGCTTTTCCTACACACTGCAGATCAAGGCTAATAACAGATGGGCTTCTGCCATTAGGAGACCAAAGCCACCGAGCACACATTGAGTCAGCAGGCTGGAACCAGAGCCAGCTGTCACCTCAGCCCCTTTTTCTCTTTAGCTTCCTTCTGATGGGCAGTCCTGCTGGAAAATCTCTTGGCATGGCTGCCTCTTTTTGATCTCTTCCTGGCAGTTTCTGTGTGTGAGCCTAGAGGCTGCGGGCAGGCCATCGTGCCGCATGGGGTTTCACAGGCTGTGGCTTGTGGTCTGCCGTCAGCCGCTAACCACAGCTTAGCCTGGGAAGGAGAGAAGTCACTGAGCCGAGGCTTTCTCTGTCGACTATGTTCTGTGTATCCCCCACTTCAGTGACCTTCATGAAGAGGGGCATTGAGGTCAGTGCTATGCAGAACACAGCCCAAGTGCAAGACCAAACTGAACAGTTGGCCAACCAAGGGAGGCCGGTGGTACACAGGGCTGACTTGCCCTGTAGGGCAGTCAGAGTTAGGGTTCTGTGTTGCCAGGAGGGCCAAGAAGATAGGTTCAGAGGCACACAGGCATTGTCTACAAGAGGAACGGCCACAGGACTGCTGTGCTGGGCAGTGGCATCGCTGACAGCTAGTGACAGCACAGATCTGAGAGCACTGTTTATGGAAGGGGCTAGGGTGGGGGTCTGCCTGCAGGCATCGGCCTGATGCACCTTTTGACCCCTTGAACAGAAAGCCCTGGGGGACCTGCATCCTTTGGTGGGGGCTGCTGTGAGGTGACAGCACTTGGCTCTTGCCTGTGTGGCCTGCATATCTGGGAGGTGTGGCATGCACATCTGCATTGTCGCTGAAGTACCTGTGTCTGCTTCAGCACAGTCACCAAGTGTGTGCCATGCTTTGGCCCTCGGGCTCCCAGCCTGTGCAAACACCACCCCTGAGAGAGTGACTGATGTAAATGGGTCACTGGGTGTGCTGCAGGCTCTGTCCTTTGTTCATACCTGGCCCTGTCGGGAGTTCCCGTCTGCAGTCAGGGGTGTTTGGGGGGGATCTCTTAAGTTTGGGGTACTCAGGGCTCAGCCAGTTCAGGGCCATGTCTTGGGATTTGGGGCCCTGAGAGCAAAGGCCCACCTCACTGATGGGGGTGACATTCCTTTAGCCAAGAGAGTGGCAGCAGCAGAGTCGGGGAGTGCGGTTGTGTGCCACACTGGTCACGGGTGCATAATGGCGCATCTTTGTTCTTTGTTCCAGTCAGCCGTTGGCCACGAGTACCAGTCAAAACTTTCCAAGCATTGCTCACAAGTGGACTCAGTCCGAGGCTTTGGAGGCAAGTTTGGTGTCCAGATGGACAGGGTGGATCAGGTGAGTGACAGGACCAGGGCCGCAGGCTCCCTGCCACAGCTACAGGCTGCTGCTGTGGCTGCCTTCCTGGGCCAGTGCAGCAGTTCACAGGTGCCCTCTGACCCCGTGGGACTGCAGGAAGGGTGTCCAGATAAGAACTCACAAGCCTCTGATGCCGGCCTATGCGAGGGGTACTGACTGTCCAATGGGGAACAGACAGTGACATGGAAGACAGGCCTCAGCATGCTTGCTGCAGGCCACCCTCTATGCCTAGCCTCTGACTCAGCCACGCTTTGCCATCAGGGACCTTTCTCGTTGTCTAACCCTGGATGGATGTGATTGACAGGCAGAGCTGCCCTCAGAGTGGGGTTTGCTGAGCTGTGGTCTCAGTGTCCAGAGGCCTAAGGCTCTCAGTGGTGCAGGAAGCACACCACTTTCAGTGTGGGTCCTGGCTTTCTGCCCTAGTAGCAGGGTCTGACCATCTGTGTCTGAAGTGGGGGAGATGCGGAGTCCCAGCTCCGGGTCATGCTAAGGGCAGGCCACCATGAGGTCCCATGGCAGGCCTGCCATCTTGTTAATGTTCTCAGTAAAGCTTGTTTGGGAAGTCTGTGTGGCAGGGGAATTAATTCCAGATTGGCATGCTGTGCCTGGAATAATTCAGCCAAGCTGGTGCCGGGTGCCTGCGGGGACGGAGGAGGAGCTGCACATACAGACTTGAGCAGTCATGATTGGACCTGTACTTTGCCTGGGAAACCAAAGGTCAAAAATTAACATGGTTTAAGCCTGGCTCACACCTGTATTCCCAGCACCTGAGAGGTGGAGGCAGGAGAATTGCCATGAGTTCAAAGTCAGCCTGGGCCTGAGTAAGACCCTATATTAACAAACAAAAAACCCACCACACAGGCTTGGGAGATGACGCAGATGTCACTGTGCGAGCATGAGGACCTGTATTTGAATCACAGCACCCACATGAGCCAGGCTCAGTGTTGGGGGTGCGGAGTGAGGAGGAGACAGGAGTGTTGCTGGAGCTTGTTGGCTGCCAGCCTAACTCTAAGTTCAGTGAGAGACCCTGTCTCAAAGGAACAAGGCTGACAGTGATAGCACAGGACACTGGACATCTTCCTTTGGCCTTTGGACATGTGTGAGCACACACACCTTCTCAAAACCAGCATTACCCAAATCTTTGTTTTCTGTGTGTCATGAGTTCAGATGGGTCATCTCGGTGACGTTTCAAATGCCTGTCCCTTATGTTTTTGTCCCACAGTCTGCTGTAGGCTTCGAATACCAGGGGAAGACGGAGAAGCACGCCTCCCAGAAAGGTAAGGCGAGTGCTGCTGCAGCCTGGCGGCAGGGAGGCCTCCGCTCTCTGCTCTGGGTGCCGGGGCCATCTGGCTCTAAAGGGTGTGTGTCCTCACTGTTGGTGGCACACTCAGAGCTCTGTGCCTGCTGTCATGTGTCTGCTGTCTTCAGTAGGAGCTGCCTTCTCTTTACCTGGGCACAGCAGCTCACTGTCAGCTCTCTGGCACTGTAATGAACAGCAAATGTCCCTGAAGACAGAAACCAGAGTTGTGGGCCTGCATTGTCAAAACTGTGCCCTGAAACGTGGAAAAGAGAGTGCTGATTGGTTTTCATGGTGTCACGTGGGTCTGGAGTGTCCCCCCACCCCACTTTTTAACAACCAAGGCAAATCATTTCTTTTTAGTACCCAGTGGTTTGATTTTGTTTCTTTTAAGATAATGTGCTATCAAAGCCTGACTTTGAACTCCATAATTCTTCTTCCTCAGCCTCATAAGTGCTGAGATGGTCAGTATTTCACCTGACTGTGAATTGTCATTTTTGTTGTTTCTTGTTTATTTTTGAGACGTGCTCATTCTGTAGCCCAGGCTGGCTTAGACCTCACCATGAAGCCCAGGTTGGCTTCCAGCTCCGGCAGTCTTCCACTCTAGTTCCCAAGTACTGGGGCCACAGTAGTGTGCAAGCATGCCTGGCTGTGGCCAGTAAAGTTAGAAAGTGGCAAACACCGTCATTTCTCTGTATCCCCGCCTTTCTTATTTATTAAACATTGTTATTGACTTTGTACGTGTATGAAATTCGGGGGAGACAAACTCACAGTGGTCCGTCCTCCCCTTCTGACACGTGGATCCTGGGGAAGGAACTCAGGACATCAATCAGGCTTACCCAGTGGTCCCCTACTTTGGTTCTTGAAACAGGATCTCACACTGTAGCCCAGGCTGACAATTCCTGGTGTAAACTACTATGGCCAGTTCTTTCTGTCAGTACAAGACAGTCGCACGTTGTGGTGGGAAGTGATCTGAACTCTGCATGAAGCGTGAGGGTGTCCAGTGTTATCCAAGGGATGCAGCTCTTAGGTTTAAGATGGACACTGCATCCCTCGAGAGTCTTAATGCTTGCTGGTGCCGTCTTGTCTCTTCAGACTACTCTAGTGGCTTTGGTGGCAAATACGGTGTGCAAGCTGACCGTGTGGACAAGAGCGCTGTGGGCTTTGACTACCAGGGCAAGACGGAGAAGCATGAGTCACAGAAAGGTGCGGTTGGGCCTTGGGCTCCTTTAGGGGTTAGAGCACTCTTCTTTGTTGTTTTTATTTTTGTTAGTCTTTTCATCTTTCAATTTTTTTCCTTAGATTAATTTATTTTTATTTGATGTGTATGGCTGTATATGGGTATTTTGCATATATATATATATATATATATGTACTTTGTGCAGAGACCAGAAGAGGGTGTCTGGTCCCCTGGAACTGCAATTATAGATGGTTATGAGCAGCCATGTGAGTGTTAGGAACCTAAACAGGGTCCTCTGGAAGAGCAGTCAATGCTCATAACCATTGAACATCTCTCTAATGCAATGGTTCTCAACCTGTGGGTCAGACTCCATTGTGGGTCAAATGGCCTTTAAGGGTCACGTGTCAGATATCCTGTATATCAGATGCTTTATAATTCATAACTAGTAAAATTACAGTTATGAAATATGAAATAATGTTATGGTTGGGGTCACTACAACATGAGGAACTGTATTAAAAGGTCACAGCATTAGGAAGGTTGAGAACCCCTCCTCTGGCGCCTCTCTATTTTGAGATAGGGTCTCATTCTGTAGCCCAGGAACTCACCATGTAGCTTTACACTTGATCCAATCCTCCTGCCCCAGCCTCCTGATCTTGGAATCAGAGGCATGCATTGCCATGCGTGTATGCCAGAGGACAACTTCATGGAGTCACATCTTCTACCTATATGTGGGTTTTAGGGACTGATCTGAGATTAGCAGGCTTGCATGGCAAATACCTTTTTGTGTTTTGTTTTGTTTGCGACAAGGTCTCTATTGTGTAGCTCTGGCTGTCCAGGAACTCGCTGTACAGACTAGGCTGATCTGGAACTCATGGAGATCTTCCTGCCTCTTCTGCCTCCGAGTGCCTGGCTTGTGGGAAACACTTTACTGTGTGCCTGCTTGTACCTGCTGAGCCATCTTGCAGCCCGCCCCGCCCTTATCTGTTTTTAAAGATTGGGTTTAGCTGGGTAGTCTGGATTGATTTAAGGACAGGGACTGTGGGTGTGGCTTCGTGGTAGAGCACAAAGCTCTAGATTTGCTCTCCATATCCTCCAAACCTCTAAAATTTTGACAAATTCTGCCACAAGGTCCTGAGAAGCCACATTGCCTTTCCCCTTGTTATGAACTGTTGTGTGGGGGACACCCCGAGGGTATCCTGCGTGTGCAGGGAAACATGCTGGGCAGATGCATGGCGGTGGCAGCGGCCAGTAGTTCACAACCCAGGCGCTGCATCCATGTGGAGAGTTTATTATAATAGAGAGATGAAGAGAAAGATAGGGAGGAGACAGAAAGAGAGAGAAGGAGAGAGAGAGAGAGAGAGAGAGAGAGAGGGAGAGGGAGAGGGAGAGGGAGAGGGAGAGAGAGAGAACACACCTCATGGGAGGAAAAGTGGAAGAGAGAGAGGAAGGGGAGGAGTTTTCCCTTAGAATGAGGCTTTTATGTCAGGACTCAGGGCAGTGCCAAAGGGTGGGATTTCAAGGGGCAGATCAGAATATTCATACCCTTCTGTGCAGGTAAAGATGTTTTTTCATGTTTACGGTGTTTACGGTGTTGGAACCACAGCCCATCTTCCTGGTGCTATTTCTGTGCTCACACGGGGCAGCTCTGTTCAACGTTTGCTGGTATTTGACAATCAAGAGGAGCCGGGTGGCGGTGGTGGCACACGCCTTTAATCCCAGCACTCCAGAGGTGGAGGCAGGAGGATCTGAGTTTGAGGCCAGCCTGGTCTACAAAGTGAGTTCCAGGACAGCCAGGGCTACAAAGAGAAACCCTGTCTCAAAAAACAAAGCAAAACAAACAAAAAAGAAAACCAAGAGCTTACATTGAAAAGAAGCCCCTGGATTTCTTTAAACAAACAAACAACAACAAAAATCCCAAGAGACTGACTGACTGGGGCTCAGCTCAGTGGGTAACCGTGCTTGCTGTGTGAATGTGAGGACCTGAGTTTGAATCTCCAAACACATATGAAACTGGGTGTGGCACATAGAACGATCGTCTGCGTTCCCTGTTTATCTGTTGGGAGACGGGAGACAGAGACAGGAGAATCTTGAAGCTCACAGGCCAGCTAGCCTGACATACTCAGTAGAAAATCAATAACGAGACCTGTCTCAAGGTGGAAGGTGAGGACCCAAGATTGTGTTCTGACCTCCACATGGACCTACACACACACACACACACACACACACACACACACACACACACACACACACACACACACACACACACACACACACGAGGCAAAACATCACCAAAAGTTCTGGCCATGGCCATGTTGGCTTGCCCTGCCCTTGGAAAGGGCCAGTGTGCCTGGGGCCTGTGTAGCTGTGGCTGCCTGCCTTCCTTAGGCTCTTTTCTGGGCTAGTGTGCAGCTGTGACCTCACATAGATCACTGTGCTTCTCTTCCCTGGGGTCAGACTTAACTCAGGTGGTATGTGCTGAGCATTCTGGGCCATCTGTCCTGGCTCCAAGCAGAGGCTGAGTACTTCTGGCTGGCTGTGGCACACAGGCCCAGAGGTTGTCTAGGGCTTCTCATTGAGGGTCTAAGTACCTATAGGAAATCATGCTATGATAGTGCAAGAGTTACAGGTCACATGACCTTGTTAGAGCCTGGGTTTCTAGAATGTTCTCCACATGTGTTCTGTTTTTTTCTTAAAGTTTTTTTTTTTTTTTTTTTGAGACAGGGTTTCTCTGTAGCCCTGGCTATCCTGGAACTAGCTCTGTAGACCAGGCTGGCCTCAAACTCACAGAGATCTGCCTGCCTTTGCCTCCTGAGTGCGGGGATTAAAGGCGTGTGCCACCACCATCCGGCTGAAGTTTTTTTTTTACTATACTTAATTTTTTTTTATGTGTATGAGTATTTTGCCTGCATATATGTCCGATTATCACATGTGTGCCTAGTACCTGTGGAAGCCAGAAGAGGGTGTTGGATCCCCTGGAACTAGAGTTATAGGTCATTTAGACCCACCACATGGGTGTTGGGAATCAAACCGAGGTCCTTTGGAAGAGCAGCCAGCGCTCTTAACTACTGAGCCATCTCTCCAGCTCTAAAGATCTACCTTTCTTCCTTTCCTTCCCCTTCCTCCCACCCTTCCTCTCTCCTTCCTTCCCTCTCTTTCCCTCCCTCCCTCTCTCTCTCCTCCTCCTCTCTCTCTTCCTTTCTTTTAATATGTGTATGGGTGTGTGTCTGTGTGTATGACAGGTAAGTGTAGATGCCTTCAGATCCCAAAAGAGAGCAACAGATCGGCAGGAACTGGAGTTACCGGTGGTTGTGAGCTACCATGTAGGTGCTGGGATCTGAACTCTGGTCCTCTGCAAGAGCTCAGCTCTTAACTGCTGAGCCATCTCTCCAGCCCCTTCTGTTTTTCTTTTGGTTTATTTCTTTGTTTCTTTTTTTCTTATTTCCAGACACGGGCTCACTTTATACCCCTTGCTGGCTTTGAACTCACTGTGTATTGGAAGTTAGTTTCAAATTCCCAACAATCCTCCTGCCTCAGTCTCCTGAGTCCTGGGACACAGGCATAAGCCACCACACTTGGGCTCTCTCCTCCCACCATGTGGGTCCCATGGATGGAACCCAGGTCATCAGGGTTAGTGGCAAATGCCTTCCCTTGCTGAGCAGTCTTGACAGCCCATGGTTTACCTTCTTAAAGACCATATAACATGTTCACGGAAACTGTTGCTGGTTTAATCTTTTCTATTTATCCGTTTTGTGTATGTGCATGCGTGTGCACATGTGTGGCGGTCAGAGGACAGCTTACAGGAGCTGGTTCTCTCCTTGTAGCACGTGGGTCCCAGGGACTGAACTCAGGCCTTCAAACTTGGCGCCAGGCGCCCTTTGCCCTCTGCCCATCTCCATTGCTGGTTTTTCACACAGTGCCGTTCTTGTTCCAGATTATTCCAAAGGTTTTGGTGGCAAATACGGAATCGACAAGGACAAGGTGGACAAAAGTGCTGTGGGCTTTGAGTATCAAGGCAAAACAGAGAAGCATGAGTCCCAGAAAGGTACCCGCCCTTTAGCTTCCTCCGGCCAGCCCCTCCGAGGGTACAGGTTTGGGAGAGAAGCTTCTGTCGCCTGCGGTATTTTAGATGGTCAACCTGGGACAGCCAGTCCCAGCCTGTGGGTATGAGAACTCAGGCGCTGGCCTCATCCTTGGCTCTAAGCCTCAGTGTTGCTTGTATGTAGTAATGTCCCTGTCACACACGTCTGCCTGTGAGTGACAAAGACCTCGCTGTCCTGAGGGCCGCATGCGTTGGCCCTGCCTGTGTGACCGCACTCGTAAGATACGGTTATCTTGAGGAGGGCCTCTGATGGCTGTCAGCCAGGGTCCCATCCCAGCTGTGCCCTGGGGGAAGCTTGGGTCCCGTGAAGCGTGCCTCCTTGCATCTGAAACCCGCTTCCTCCCCCTTGTTCCGGGCTGCGCAGTAATGCCAGGTTATGGCTTTCTGTTGTGCATGTAGACTATGTGAAAGGGTTTGGAGGAAAATTTGGTGTGCAGACAGACAGACAAGACAAGTGTGCCCTTGGCTGGGATCATCAGGAGAAGCCGCAGCTGCATGAGTCCCAGAAAGGTACCGCCTCTAGCCCCTCCCCCAGCTCTCCTCCAGGGCCTTTGGGAAGCTTGTGTTCATCCTCAGTCGGTCACGTGCCTCGTGTCAGCTGTGCTTCTGTCCAAATTTCGTTTTCACGGTGTGAAGTAGTCTATGTCTCCCCCAGTCCCAGAAGTCCCCGTGGGTGGCAAGGGGCTTGGGTGATCCTGCCCTCTCCCTGCTCAGATGCCCGTGCTGCAGCCACTGGGAGCCTGTTCCTGTAGCACCCACAGGGGCCCTTTGCCCTCTGGGTTCCTGGGTTCTCCCTTTTAAGGTGGCTAGGGTTCATGGAGGGCACTCTTCTTTACAGTGCTCGGGATGGAACCTGCAGCCTGGTCTATGCTGGACAGATTCTCTCTGCCTCCGAGCCTCCCCTCAAATCCTTAGCACGCTTCCTTTCTAGCCGGGAGTGTTTTCTTGTCACAGCGGGAACTTTGTCCCAGGGAAAGCGGGTTTGAAAAGGTTGTCCCCAGCTGTCCTTCCAGCACAGGGAGCGGGACTGGTAGCCCTTCTGTTGTCCCTTTCCTGTCGGCAGCCTGGGAAGGACCCTGTAGGCAAACCTTAAAGTGTGGAGTAGCTTTAACAGAGCGATTTACCATCCAGTTCTGAACCTGTTTCTGTGAATCAGCTGAAGCATACGGACTTTTAAGTTTGCTCCTTAATCCTTTGGTCAGTGTTAGGCCATCAGGCCCGGATCAGCGCTCTTGCTGCCTGAACGTGATGTATTTGACATTGCACATGCTCACGTGATTCTAACCTGGCTGTTTCCTCTCTCGGTCATGCTCCCCACTGTCTCGCGTGGATCTCCAGACTATAAGACTGGGTTCGGAGGCAAATTTGGTGTTCAGTCCGAGAGGCAGGACTCCTCCGCTGTGGGGTTTGATTACAAGGAGAGACTGGCCAAGCACGAGTCCCAGCAAGGCACAGTTGCCCCTTCCTCCTCCCACCAGCCCTTGCAGTGCAGCTAACTCGCAGCATAGACTTCAGGGTCCACCGCAGTGCCTGTGTTAGTCCCCTGTGCCGCCAGCTGCCAGGGATGTCCTCCACCCGGTCTCCTGCCAGAGCAGCATCCTGGAGCGTGGTCCCTGCCTCCTCCACCCCCAATTCTTTTTCCCCTCTGACCTTTAGGGTTCAAGTTAGGAGGCACTCTGCAGGCCAGGTCAGTGTAGTTTCTGCAGGGGACCCCGCTGGCCTCATTGCCTTGACCACCAGCGCTGAATCTCTGAACCCCTCCTCATTGCCTCTGACCCACAGGGAGGTGAGGTGGGTTTGTTCTCCCAGACCTGATGTTAACTAGACACTGGGGTCATGGAGAAAGACAGGCGTGTTTCATGTGGTCTCTGTGTCTTTGTTTGTAGTGGGGTTTTTTGTTTTTGTTTTGCCGGGTGTACAAGGTTTGTGTGTTTGGATTTTTGGTTGTTTTTGTTTTTGTTTTTGTTTGCCACACCATCTGTGTGTAGCATCTCCACCCAGAGCCACACTGTATGTGCACACTGTGCACATGGCTGACACAGGCCGGTCGAGCCATGCCCTGGGGATCTCAGTAGCTGTTGCAGTTTTTCTTTTCCTTGAGAGATTGGACCTGGTTCCTAGAACCCAAGTGTCCAGGCAGAGGCATGTGAGTCCCTGAATCATGGAGTGCAGGCTCCCAGATGCCACTGGGCCTGGGGTAGATGTACTTAGTGCTGACCAGCAGACTGCGTGGAGGTGGCCATTGGTTCCTGTGATGTCAAGACTGCATGACGGTCACTTTCATGTTTGTGTGTGTGGCAGCGACAGACATACTTGTCTGGTGGCATTTCGACACGGAGTTTTGTTTTGTTTTTCTTTTAAAAAGCAAGAGAACAAACTACGGTGGGGCCTCTATTTAGTGCCCAGTAGAGCGGGCGCCCAGGAAGCAGATGAGCATAAGGCCCTGGCTGGTGCGAAGACTGTGCTATAGAAGTGTGCACTGCAAAGGCCTGTCCTGTGCCCTCCTCCTCGGCTTCCTTCCCACCAGCCTGCCGCCCACCCTCTCCCTCCCCCTCTCCCCACTCCTGGAAGCATGTCCACACCTCACCTGCTCCCTGCCTGCACTGGGCACCGTGGTTAGACAGCTGGCTTTGCCAGAAGAGCCTGTCCTCGGGCAGCTTCCACATCCCTCTGCTCTGGTTTGTGTCCCTGGGCTGTTTCGTGGACCCGTGTGCATGTGCCTGCCATTGCTCACCCACCCTCGGCCTCACGTAAGTCTTGCCTTCACCACCTTTCAGACTATGCCAAAGGATTCGGCGGGAAGTATGGGGTACAGAAGGATCGGATGGACAAGGTAAGGCCAGCGAGCTGTTGTGGGGATGTTCTTGTGAGGGCCCTTGGCTCTCAACACCAGAGGTCTGTCCAGAAACATTAGGCATATGTCATTCCGTGGTCCTGGGAACCCTGCATACGTCATGTAGCACACTGAGGATCCGTTCTGGTTCACACTTGAGGCTGAAACAGGCAAGCTGGGTACCTGGTCACAGCATAGCAGTGAGTAGTGGGGATCTCAGGTGGGTCCCAGGCACTTGATGCCAGGGTGCTGGGGACATGCGATTGTTGGAACTTTTAACTATTATTGGAACTGGTTCTTGCCTGGCACTTAGAAGTGCTTAGTGGCCACGTCTAGTCACTGGCTGTCACCGTGGACAGCGGGAGCTAGAATTAGTCCTGCTGCCGATGGCTACAGGTGGCACGCACTGGTCTCTGGCTTGTCCTTTTTCACTCTTTCCTTCAGATGGCGTCTTGCTCTGCCACCTAGGCTGGTCTGGGACTTGAGATCCTTCTGCCTCAGTTTCCATAGTCTGGCACTGGTGGCAGGTGCCATCTTGTCTGGCTTTATCTTTTAGGATGAAAGCACACTCCTGTGGAAACAGTTTGTTCCCCCTCCCCAGACCCCTCTTCAGCCTGTTGTTGCCTTTGGTCAGTTTCGGGACCCTGCAGGGTCAGCTGTGAGCCGGTGAAAGAATTGTTCTCCTAGTGTATCGGCCAGTGTTGGGTGTGTGTGTGTGTGTGTGGGGGGAAGCGTGGGCTTGCTCGGCAGCTCTGCAGCTCCTCCAGAGGCCTGGCAGGCAATGCTCTCTTCCACTTGAGATGCAGACGTTTGTTCCTGTGCTTGGCTGTGGCCATATGTGGCACGGGTCATTCACAGACTTGTTCTTCCGTTAGGCTCAAAGCTCACTGGGGTTGGCATCGCCCAAGGTACCTGCCATGTCACCAGAGCTTCTCACAGGAGTTGCTTGAGCAAAATGTCCCTGAGGAAGCCAGATAAACTGAGTTTAAAAGTGATGTGTATGCATATATCTATATAGGTGTGTGTGTGTGTGTGTATATATATATATATATATATATATATATATATATATATATATATATATATATATGTGCATGCACACGTATGTGTCACAGAGTACACGTGGCAGTCAAAGGACAACTTGTGTGAGTTGGTTTCTACCATGTGGGTCCCAGGGATTGAACTCAGGTCACTGGGCTCGGTGACAAGCGCCTTTTGCCCGATGAACCCTCTCCTTGGTCCCTGGGCCAAGTTTTGAGGGTAGACTGGAGCTTGTCTGCAGAGGTGGAGTCAGTGACGTGAAGCGAGGATGCGACCAGGAGCCCGGTTTAGGAACCAGGTCACTGCAAATGTGGGAGAGGAAGGAGAGACAGTTCCAGCTGCAGCACCTCCTGCTGAGGGGAGGGGCCTGGGAAGCCCGTGGGACATGCAGCCTGTCCGAGTGCAGGCACAGTGGCACACACCCGTAACTGCAGCACTTGACAGAGCAGAGGCAGGGCTCGTGTGACTCTAGGCGGTGGTGGAGCTTTGAAGAGTTGGAGAACTCAGGTAGAGAAGATGAAGCTACAAAGGCTTTGGGCAGCCATGGTGCTGCAGGGCTGCCTCAATGGGAGGGAGGGACCTGCCATGTGCTGAGGGGTATCCCCAGGGCTTCACCTGCCAGTCAGCAGAGACCGAGCAGGGAGGCTGGGTGAGGTGGCAGGAGACCAGGTGTCTGGTGGCTGAGGGCCCTGTGGTCGAGGACATGAGGAAGTGAGTGAGTTACTCGGAGGCTGGCGTTGAGGAAGTTGTGGTGTCTGTGGTTGGCAGTGATGGTAAAGATGGCAACCGCAAAGATGGCGACCGCTGGCATTGTGCAATTGGAGTCAGGAAATGATGTGGTTAGAAGTCTCTGCTGCCCCTGCCAGCCAGGTGTTCTCATTTTCTCTGTCTGTTGCCCTCTGGAAGAGCTCAGGGTCCTTCCTGCCCAGGGGACTGTGGGGTGGGATCAGGACCCAGGCTGTGCCAAGAGCAGTGGTTCATCGCCATAGTAATTGGGATGAGGTGGCAAACCCTGATGCCAGCCTGTCCTTCCCTAGAGAGGAAAAGTGTCCCTCCATGGTGGCTTTGGGCATTTACAAGTGGCCACCCTGTTGGGCTCCGGAGCCAGGCTGTGTGAGGGAGACGGAGTGAGAGCTGAGATGGGCAGAGTCTGAGGGGAGGGATACCCAGGAAATGGGGAATGGGAGAGACAGGAGGCTGGGGTCAGGAGCTGGGTGGGGGTCAGGTGTGGTTTAGTGCTGAGACTGGTTCAGAGTTGGAGAGCCCTGGATGTCACCCCTAGCACGCTTTAGGGGGGAAAGGTGCTGTGATTTGGGAGGCGGGGCATGGGTGAGTGATTGAAGGGAGTGAGGGGTATAGAGGTGAATCGGGTCCCCCAGGGGTGGGCGGAGCAGCTGGAGATTGCAGAGCAGACAGTAGGTGGACAAGTAGGTGGAGGCGTTGTGGAGCAGGGCGTCTGGGAACAGGGAGAGGAATGGCGACCCGGGCTGAGGTGGGCACAGCTCTGACCTGGGGGCTCTCAGCTGGGAATGGCTCCATATGGGAGATCAGGCAGGGTGCTGGTCGGGGCAGTGAATGCTCTGAACCCTGAATATCTATTAGAAGCCACATGGCTGGGGACTGTCACTGGTGTCACTGCCCTGTCAGGCTGTGTCTAGGTCAGCCACTGCTTTGTGATCCGTACCGGAGTAACTCTGGAGCCTGTAAGCGTGGTTGAGGTGTAGGATATTGAGAGAGCCTACAGGAGGGCAAGGAGGGGGCCTGGCCAGGTGACCCTGGGAACTACAGAGCCTCACGGTAACTCATGTTCTCAGTGCAGGTGCATGCATCTGTATGATCATCAGTGAGTCTGTGGAAGGGGAGCCGAGCCCCAAGGAATCTACAGAGGGCAGGATTGGGCAACAGCTCTGTGTTGTGGAGGTGTTTTGAAAGCTGGGGAGGCTCCTCACAGTCCCTAGGTAACAGCTGTCCTAGCTGGGAAGGAACGAGGACACTATCCCCTGACTTCTCTGTCTCTGCAGAATGCATCCACCTTTGAAGACGTGGCCCAGGTGCCCTCTGCATACCAGAAGACTGTCCCCATTGAGGCTGGTGAGTCCTGGCAGTCTGAAAGCACTGTGTGGTCCATGGGGTACAGTGCTGGTGCCCCGTGGTCTCCTAGGATGGCTGAGGGAGAAGCCTCACCGGGTGGGTTGTTAGTGAGAGCTACTGGTGACCAGGTTCTGGGAACAGCCTACATATGTTCCTCGAGCCCACTTCTCTCAGTGGTCCCAGCTACAGCCTGAGGTTCATAAAACCTTAGGTGTTTATGAAGAGAAGCAGAGGAGTCTCAGCCTCTCACAAGTTTTTACCAGTGGCTCAGAAACATGTCCTTTCAGGTGCTTCCTGGGTGTGTGAAGATGAGACACATCCAGAGAGTGCCCTTTGCATATGGGATAGAAAGTCCCAATTCATCCGTAGGTAGAATGACCATTGGCCACCGCAGATACACAGATCAGTTCTTGGGCCATTTTGACACTCATGGAAACCATCAGGGTCTTTTGCCAAGACCTCTGCAGGCACCACTTGTGCTGAGATCAATTTATACCGATTGTGTGTCATATTAGAAGGGTCTAGGCATGGTGGCACATGCCTGTAATCTCAGCACTTGGGAGGCTGAGACAAGTGGATTGTCATGAGTTCAAGGCCAGCTTGGGTTACCTAGTAAGACTTGGGCCAGCCTGGACTATAGAGTGAGACTCTGTCTCAGAAAAGGGGAGAAGGAGTAAATGAATTGTTTTTAAAACAACAGAATTGTGAGGTGCTTACATGCTGACATATAGTATGGAAATTAGCCTCAGTGTCAGAGTGGGTGAACAGGGTGGCGTTGTCATAGGACCACGGGCTTCCCCTGCCTGCCTGGACCTTACAAGGGAACAGGAATGGCTGTGCGAGGTAGGAGGAGAAGATGCTCTCTGGGAAGCTGTGTGAGCCCAAGGCCCAGTGGGCTGTGGTTTCCCCAGGCTGGGGATTCCCCTGGGCTGCGGTCTCTGAGTACTTCCGGAGTTTGGCTCACCCCATGGGCTGCAATCTATATCTTGTTACTTTCAGATACTAGTCCTCCGGATTAGGCCTGTCACCTGGCTGCAGAGCCCTTACGTACAGCCTAAGAGGGAGGTCTCATCTGTCAGCCATCTCATCACAACCTTTAAGTGACAGCTGTCACACTCACTGTATTAGTTAGGTTTCTATTGCCGTGATGGAGCCCATGACCAAAAGCAGCTTATGTTTCCACATCACTGTTCATCACTGAAGGAACTCAAGTAGAGCAAGAACCTGGAGGCAGGAGCTGAGGCAGAGGCCATGGAGGAGCACTGCTCACTGGCTTGGTCTCCATAACTTGCTCAGCCTGCGTTCTTATAGAACCAGGACCACCAGCCCAGGGGCGTCACCGTCCACAGCGGTACTGAGCCCTTCTCACATCAATCACTGATAAGAAAGTGCCCAGCAGGATTGCCTGCAGCCTGGTCCTAAGAAGGCATTTTCTCTGGACGTCCCCTGCTCTCCAGTGACTCTAGTGTATGTCAGGTTGATAGAAAACTAGCCAGCACACCGTGGCAGCCTCTGCAAATGTCCCCAACCCCAGACTTGTTTGCTTCTTTGCCTTTGTAGTCAGGGCTCCACAGCGAATCCTAGGCCAGTCCTGAACTCACTGATAAGCTCAGGATGGCTTTGTGTAACGTCACCCTCCTGCCACAGTCTCCAAGTGCTGAGATCCCAGGTATGTGTCACAACCTGGCCAACCCAGGGGTTTTGCTTGAAAACGTCACCGTCATATGGACAAACAGCACTACTTCTCTCCCTTCCTGTGTTTATTCTGGTTTGTTTGTTCTGAGACAGTCTCCTGGCGCCCAGGCTGCCCTGGAGCGCCTGGTCCTTCCGCCTCCGTCTTCAGTGCCGGGATGGCAGGTGAATACCACCACACTTGGCTCAGCTACCCCCCTTTACCGGACAGGCTCACTTTGGAGGGGGCGCCTGCCAGACACTCAGACGTGCTTCTGGTTATGTCTGGGAAAATGGTGTTCCGTGAACAAACCTGTTCACTTGCGAGCTCAGGAAGCCCGTTCTGAGACAGGCGTCTGCTGGTCCTGACTGACATCCTCCCTACTTCTGTCACATAGAGCGGGGGAAGTCTATCCAAGGGTCCATATGTACTGAAAAACCAAGGCTTTTTGCTGTTCTAAAACTATTTCCTCCCCACCCCCCTTTTTTGTGGTGCTAGGGGTGGAACCCAGGGCCTTGTGTATGCCAGGCAGCGGCTCTATCACTGAGCCACACTGCAGCCCCTCATTGGGGGAATTCTAGGTCTTTTTCTCCTGCTGAGGCACATGCCAGCCCAGCCTTCATGGTTAGAAGCTTAGCTGTTGCTTCATTCAGCCTGGGCATGTAATGCTCGACTATGACAGTGTCTTTCTTAACTGTGGTCCAGACCGAGGGCTTCTGATCCCAATCAGTCTTGCTTGGGCTTGGTGTGTGGCTGGCCTAGGGTGAGTTGACTGTGTTCCATGGATCTGTCCCCCAGGTCACCCTGGTGTGGCTTTTGTGAGGTGTTCTGAGACAGATGTGTCCTCTCTTTCCTCTAGTGACCAGCAAAACCAGTGATATCCGAGCTAATTTTGAAAACCTGGCAAAGGAGAGAGAGCAGGAGGACAGGCGGAAGGCAGAAGCAGAGAGAGCTCAGCGGATGGCCAAGGAAAGGCAGGAGCAGGAGGAGGCTCGGAGGAAGCTGGAAGTGAGTACAGATGCCGTGTCCTGTTCTGGAGCCTGGCTGCCTTCCTCCAGTCGGCGTGGGGCACACTGTGAGGAGTAGGGGAAGTGGGTACGGCGGAAGGGCTCTTCCTGAAGCTTCTATGATATCCTCGCTTGGCACTGAGAGGAGTTTCTTTGCTCCCAGCTAGATTCAGGAGGAGCTGGTAGGAAGGCTTGTTTACGCGGCAAGCTAGAGTAACTTGGTCACCCCCCACCTGGGCACCTCCAGCCCTCAGCCCCTCTCCATGGCCCCATGGCCCCATGGCCCCATGTGAATGCTGACGACAGCGTTCCGGAATGGTTGGGAAGTAGAATCCTCAATAAATCATGCATCATTGTGAACATGATGCTCCATCTAAGCTGATGGACACCCCCCCAGGAGGTATTGGGGTGGAGACCTCACAGAGGAAGATGGGTTAAAGGGAGTGGCACTCAGAGCATGGGTCCTGACCGTGGAGCCCTGGTGTGATGTGTCTCAGGGCATGCAGCTGCATGTAGTAGCGACCATGAGGCTATGAATGTACATCTCCTCCCCTAGGGGCGCAGTCTCCAGCGGGGGCGCACATACTGGGTTTCGTTCATCCACAGTGCGCGCATGGCGTCCTGCAGTGCTCTGGCTTCCTTGTCTTCTTTCTGCAGGCTGATTCGGTTCTGGGGCTCTGGATAACCGCCTAGTTCTGGTCTCAGATTCTCTTGATGTTAATTCTTCTGCTGTGTGGTCTTTTTCTGTCCTGCCCACCCCATTTCTTTGCCCCACGAGATGAGACTCCAGCGTACCATCTTTTCCTATCAGTTCTGAGCTGACGAGACTAGACCCGACCTTCTTGTGCTTCAGTCTCTGTGTGACTTTGAACATGCATTGACAGTAAGGGCTCTTCTTGGCACCCAGTGGGGTGTAGAAAGGGCTGGAGAGCCCCACAGCCCGCACTTGCATTTGGGCTAACTCAACAGCCTGGCCTCTTCATTGTGCTGCAGGCTTGAATGCCCCAGATGGTCCTGCTCTCAGTCCACAGGACCATCGCTGCAGGCTTGAACCCCCAGATGGTCCTGCCCTCAGTGCACAGGGCCATCGCTGCAGGCTTGAACCCCCAGATGGTCCTGCCCTCAGTACACAGGGCCATCGCTGCAGGCTTGAACCCCCAGATGGTCCTGCCCTCAGTGCACAGGGCCATCGCTGCAGGCTTGAACCCCCAGATGGTCCTGCCCTCAGTGCACAGGGCCATCATTGCAGGCTTGAATGCCCCAGATGGTCCTGTCCTCGGTGCACAGGGCCATCGCTGCAGGCTTGAACTCCCAGATGGTCCTGCCCTCAGTGTACAGGGCCATCGCTGCAGGCTTGAATGCCCTAGATGGTCCTGCTTCAGTGCACAGGGCCATCGCTGCAGGCTTGAACCCCCAGATGGTCCTGCTTTCAGTGCACAGGGCCATCGCTTCAGGCTTGAACCCCCAGATGGTCCTGTCCTCAGTGCACAGGGCCATCGCTGCAGGCTTGAACCCCCAGATGGCCCTGCCCTCGGTGCACAGGACCATCGCTGCCTGGGGTGTTTCATCTTTGGTGATTGCCATGACTGTTCTGGTGGTGCAGAGCGGGTAGCTCTATGGATGCAGAGACTGTGTTAGAGTCTTTATGGTGTTTCTCTCAAGAGCACAGTGTGACCATTTTACTTCCTAGACAGTAGGGTAAAGAGAGTGTGGAGTGGGTAGCTGAGGTTCAATCCTATCTCTAGGGGGACACCCTGAACATCTCCCTGAACAGTTCTGAACATCTGCCATGGGGACATGTGGATCTCAGGAAATTTCCCATGCTGCTGTATGAGCTTGTTTGCCAAGTGGTTAGAACACCCGATACTTGATGCCACAGCCCTAAAGGATGTGGCCCTGGAGTCTTTGGGCAGATCCTAGGTACTACCTTCAACATCTCTAGGCTGTCTTGGCTCTCTGGCTTGTGGCCACCTCTCTCCCCTACCTTCTACATTCCTCATCACCCGCCGCCCCAAGCTGTCTCTTTTCTACCTCCCTCTTGTCAGGACTTTGGGGTGACATGGGCCCACTGGCATCCTGGAATGGTTCCCATCTTCTTCTTGGTGTTCTGTTGCAGTCCTGGGTACCAGGATTTTGCCTTGTAAGGGCATGGTCCATGGAGAGCAGCCCACCTATCAGCCCCCAGGGGTCATGTCTGCCCCACGTGCAGAAAATACTTGCTCATTAAAAGGTCCCTGAAACTTTTGGTAGCATCGGCTCAGGGCCCCAAGTTGGGAAATGAGCTCAGGGCAAGATCGAGTAGCTGCTTGATTGCACCTCTGTCCGGTGCTCCTGTTCACTGCACATCTAAATGTGTGACACAGGAGTCCCAGAGTCCTTGAGAAGACGTGACTGTGTGACTTCCACTTCAAAGCCACCTGACCCTGTGATCAGTGCTTTCTACTCTCCCAGCAGGCTCCAAGCTTCCCACCTGGGCACCACCCCCTTACAAAGTGGCAGATGGGACTTCCTGGCTGACCGGGTAACCATGCGTTTGCTGTCCCTCTATCTTAGGAGCAAACCAGAGCCAAGAAGCAGACGCCCCCTGCCTCCCCCAGTCCTCAGCCAGCTGAGGACAGACCACCCTCCAGCCCCATCTATGAGGTGGGTAATCACTTGACCCGTTGGCTGCCCTAGACTCCTGCAGATTCGTGCCGCCATACCCTTGTGTCTCCCTGGAGCAAGGTGTCCCCCCAGGTTGGATGTCTTCACCTTTGGGCAGCCCATGGCGCCATGGCCTTCCTCTCCCTGTGACTTCTGGGAGGTCAGTGGATGCTGCATGCTTAGTGTATTGGTCGTACCAACTATGCTGCCCCTGGAACCGACCGCCTGTTGTCCCTGAGACAATGTTCTCCCTTAGCCCTGGAGCATCTTATTCTCTATGGCCTCCTCACACGAAGCTCTGTGGAGTTCTTGCCTCATCCCTGCCCAGAAAGCATTTCCTACACTCTGCCCTGACTCAGGGCTCCCTCTCTGAAGTAAGCCCCTCTGCCCACAACCACGTCCCATGAGTCCCAACAGTCCTCACATACTGGCCTTTCATTATCCAGGTGACATTGTTCGTGGGCTCTGAGAGAGTATGGACCGTGATGGGGCCTTAGGTGACCGTGACCTCTTCACCACTAGGGTTCCCTCTCCTTGACACCATGTTACCCTCCCTGCATGGCAGGCAGCCTTCCCCTGCCACACTTCTTGGTGGATGTGGCCTTGTAGCTAGTGACCCAACCAACAGAGTGGACATGAGGCATCCCCACAGAGCCATGCCTCCTGCTGGGCCAGGTGCGGGGACACTGGCTCTTTGATGAGTCTGGTGACAGTGCTGTTCTTGGGGGCGGGGACAGGCCCTGTGATTGGCAGCTCAGCTGGGACCAGAAGCTGAGGGAAGTCCCTGAGATGCTGTGATGGGAAGTTGGGACAGGGCTCAGTGTAGAGCCACCATAACAGAACTGGCTGTTAGCCTTGCAGTCTCCTCTGGCTACCATCATCTTGCCAAATGGGACCAGTCCTGGACCTGAGTGATCTCCTTGGCCGGAAGCAGCTTGCCCTGCGTGGTCACCCTCCACAGGAAGCTTCCTGTCCCCGCTTCCTGTGTATAAAGTTTCTATCCTTGTCTTGATTTGTCTAACTATGGAAGTCAGTTGTGAGTGGTGCTCTTCTGTCCATGGAGAAATGTGTGCTTGTCTCTCTGCAGGATGCAGTGCCATTCAAGGCAGAGCCGAGCTACGGAGGTCCTCTTGGCGGGAGTGAGCCTGAGCCTGTGTACAGCACCGAGACTGCAGGTGTCCCTGAGGCCATCAGCCAGCAAAATCTAGCCTACACCTCAGAACCTGTCTACGAGACCACAGAGGCCCCTGGACACTACCAAGCGGGTACTGGACCCCGCTCCAGCTCTGCCCAGGGGAGGGAGGGTTCCCGAGAAGTCCTTTCATCCATTATGCTCCTCAGAGAGGGTTGCCTTGCTATCTGATTGCCTAGGAACGTGAGTTCTGTGTCACCCCCTGGATTGGGGAGGGTTAGACACAGTGGTCCCTAGTAGGGCAGTGTTCCAAAGCCCTGGAGGGCTTTGCCCATTGCCCGGCCATCTCCCCATGCTTTGAAGGTGAACCAGTGCTTCAGCAGACAGACAGTGAGGTTAACTTGTTTACTTTGAAAACCAACTTCTAACGAGACCCTAGACAGGGTCAGTGCAAGTTCTTCATCCCCCCTGCAGCAGTGTGGGGTGGGTGCAGGGCACCTTAGCTGCTCTCAGCCTGCCAGGCCCAGGGCAGCCTTTGGTGCCAAGCCTCCATCACCCTGGCCTCCTTCCTTGACTGGCATCAGACTTTTGTTTTCCAGTGTCTGTCTTAGTCCGTGTTCTATTGCTGTGTAGTGATACTGTGACCAAGGCAGTTCTTATAAAAGAAGACATTCAATTGGTGCCTTGCTTGTAGTTTCAGAGGTTTACTCCATCATCATCATGGTAGGAATCATGGCAGCAGGCATGGTGCTGGAGAAGTAGTTGAGAGCTACATTCTAATCTGCAGGCAGGGGGTGGGGATGCAACATTGGTGGGCTTTTGATACCTCAAAGCCCACCCCAGTGACACACCTCCTCCAATAAGTTCACACCTCCTAGTCCTTCTAATCCTTTCAAATAGTGCCACTCCCTGGTGACTAAGCTTTCAAATATATGATCCTATGAGGGACGTTCCTACTCAAACCACCACGATCTCATTCAGTAAGTAGCCCAGGCTGGCCGAGAATTCACTGTGTAGCTCAGACTGGCCTTGAATGTGGAGTAATCCTCCTGCCTCTGCCTCACAAGTGCTGGGATTGTAGGTGCTATCATGCTAGGTTTGGAAAAGGGTCTTGGTACTTGGTACTCGTCCATGTGGCCATGCTTCCCTGTATGTGTCAGAGCTCAGTGTCTGAGCTTTGCTGTAGCCAAGTGTCCTGTCTTAGTCAGGGTTTCTGCTGCTGTGATGAAACACCATGACCAAAGCAAGCTGGGGAGGAAACCGTGTATTCAGCTTACACTTCCATGTCTCTGTTCATCACTGAAGGAAGCCAGGATAAGAACTGAAACTGGCTCTCTCTGTTCTGCTCTGTCTCTCCCGCCACCATCTTTCCCTCTCTCCTCATGCGCTTTCCTCTCCAGGCCTGGCGCTCCTCTCTCCCCTTCCCCCCTTTCCTCCTAATGAAGCTCTGAATACTGAAAAAAAAAAAAAAAAGAACGGAAACAGGGCTGCAACCTGGAGGCAGCAGCTGATGCAGAGGCCATGGAGGGGAGCTGCTTCCTGGCTTTTTCCCCATGGCTTGCTCAGCCTGCTTTCTTATAGAACTCAGGACCACCAGCCCACAGACAGCACTACCCACAGTGGGCTGGGCCTTCCCCCATCAATCACTAATTAAGGCCTTACAGCTGGATCTTACAGAGGCATTTTCTCAATTGAGGGTCCCTCCTTTCCGATGACTCGAGCTTGTGTCAAGTGGACATAAACTAGCCAGGACAAGTCCTTTTGTTTCTAGGAGGTATCTTACTGCTCCATCCCAGCTATTGTCGTGAGGTTTCTTTTTTAGCAAGCTCTCCCATCTGTCCTCGGGAAGTGTGTCTGAGGGGCTGGCCTGTTGCTCAGCAGTTCTGCTTTGCTTACAGAGGATGACACCTACGATGGATATGAGAGTGACCTGGGCATCACAGCCATCGCCCTGTATGACTACCAAGCTGGTGAGGCACTAACTGGGCTGTGGGCACGTATGTTCCTGCCCTAGGTGAAGTTCCCAGCCACTCTCCTCCTGTGACCAGTTCATGGCAGGAATACAGAGCTGTTTTATGTTTGCTTTTGAGCCAGGGTTTGTGTTACCCAGTCTGACCTTAAACGCCAGGCATCAACAATCCTGCCTCAGTCTTCCCAGCGGCTGACACCTTGGGTGCACATTACTGTGCTTGGGTACAATTTCTAGTTTATCTTGAAGTAACCTTAGAGAAGTTACCTGAAGGATGCCAAGGATGTCCATGTCTGTGCCTGCCCCTTTGTCTCTCGTCTTCCTCTGACCCCTTGGGGATCTGAAGCTGCAGAGCCTCCTGAGTCAGGACAGACTCACTGTGCAGGCTGGGGTCAGGGTTCCACACGAACATACCCCACTCTCCCGATGAAGATGCTACCACATGTGGCCCAGGGCCCCCCTTGCCCTGGTGGTCAGGAGGTCTTAGAAACAGTGTGGCCATCCCGGGGTCGGGTGAGCACACCCGTCCCACGTGACCCAGTTCTGTTAGCCCAGGTGGGATGGGTGTGCTGACCTGACCCAGGGAGGGGCCCTCATTGAGCATTGTTTTCTGGGATGCAAGGCTGGGACTCCCTCAAATCCTTAGGCCCCCAGACTGAGGTGGGGGGGTTCTCTAGTCCCGTTTCTTTCTGACAGAGACCTGGCATGCATTTCTTGTACACACATGGGTTCTGTAACTTTAGGGCCATCACCTCACATCTCTGTAGTCTAGACTTCGGTGTGTCACCTTAGCAGGCCTCCAGCACCCCTCTCTCCCTTGCTGTCCCTGTCATGTGTGTGACTGTGGAAGGCCCTCTGCACACCCTTTCCCCTGCTGGGTGGGTGTCTGGGTGTCAGCCGCAGTGTCCTTCCTCCTGGTCAGGTGACCTTCCCATCTGACTCTCTCTCTGCTCTCCCTCCCTAGCTGGCGATGACGAGATCTCCTTTGACCCTGATGACATCATCACCAACATAGAAATGATTGACGATGGCTGGTGGCGTGGGGTGTGCAAGGGCAGGTACGGGCTCTTCCCGGCCAACTACGTGGAGCTGCGCCAGTAGGACGGCCGGCCACCCAGCGCCTACCAGCACCAGCACAGGCTTCACACTACAGCTCATCTGCGTGTGTTTGAGTTGGTTTCTGTTTCCTTTTTTCTTCTGAAGGTGGGGAGGGGAATATACATATTGCCTTTATATTTAATACTTCTGCTGATGCTTCAGGGCATGTCTTGCCACAGAATTTGCTAATATCTGATAATCATGTTCATAGAGAACTTGGGGTGGTTACTTTGAGCCATCCCAGGTGTTTTCTTTTCTGCCAAGTTGACTGTGGTATGTAGCCACTTCAGGGTCTCTGCTTCTCCTGAGGTTGGTGGTATATGTGGCCTTGTGCCCCCCCCCCAACCCCCGTGGCAGTCGGGGTCCCCCAGGATGGAGACTGCTCCTGGAGTGGCTGCCCAGTGAGGAGGCTCTCTGGGACTCAGTGTTTGGGAAAAAGGAAAGGGGACCAAGGGAAAGTGAGGTGGCGGTAGAGGGGAATGCTGGAGTCCTGGAGCATTGACACTACGTGGGAAGTTCCCTCTGTCAGGACTGACAACCTGAGCCGGGATCCAAAGCTTTCTGTACTCTGCCTCCTCATCTCATCTCATCTCTTTACCTCCCCTGATACCCCAGTCCGGTTGAAGCTCTTTCCTGCCTTGCCTTCAAGTGTTCCCTTCTCCTGTTTGCATCCAAGGCCCATAGCACAAAGCATGTCTTAGTGACGTGCTGGCAGCTATCCCGGGCTTGGCCTGCAACATGGGAGGGTGGGGTGGGTCCTGGACCCACTCCCAACCCCTGAGCAGCCTGGAATGTGTTGTGTGTGGCCAGCCACCTGGCTGGTCAGGCAGATTGATACCTTATCCCTGCAAGCTTCCAGAAGCATGCTCCCTGCAGGGGAGCTGTGTTCTTTTTGCCAAATATCATGTTCATAGTCCATTGATTGATTGATTGATTGATGGGGCTGAAAACAGGACTGTGAGGGAGCTGAGGCTCCCACCTGGGTGCCTGGCACAGCCTCCTTGAGCAACTGTCCCTAAGGTGGTTTCCAGTCTTTGAGACACCAGGAGGCCGGGCCACACTGAGCACGCACAGTCAGACGGACAGCATGTCCTTGTAGACGAGTCCCCAACTATTGGGACACATGAGGATCAATGCCCACCTTCTCCTATGTGCTTTCCTGCAGAATCCTTGCCTTTCCGTTGTTAGGTCAGGTTTTCTATATGAATTATCATCGGGAATTCTGTAGCACACCTCATAGGTATGGATTTTTTTAAATTAAATATTCAGAATAAACTTTTTTTGATCCACTTGCTATGTGGTCTGCAGTACTTGGCTTCCATTTTCTGCTGTTGAAGGTGACGTGGGGCTGGGTTCCCTGGGGCCTGGCTCAGATGGCCTTTGTCAAGGCCACACTGTCCCTTGTCAGGGCAGCTGGGCGGCTCTGGAGCCTTGAAAGGGCCTGGCTCCTTGCAGGTGCTTTCGGCTGAGGTGTGCTCCTAGGCCACCAGTTTCTCCACCAAGGATCTGAGCAGGGAGATGGCCCTGTTGGTTAAGTGCTCGTTCCGTGTCTTAGGCCTTGGGGCTGTGACAAAACACCCTGACAAAAGCAGCTGCAGGGAGTGAGGGTTTATTTTGGCCACAGTTTAAGGGTACAGTCCATCATGGCAGAGAAGGCATGGCTGTAGTTGGACTTTCCTTTGTGGGACCTTTGCCAGCCCACAAATAATGACAGAGACTTATATTAATTATGAAGGTTTGGCCGTTAGCTCAGTCTTGTTCCCAACTAGCTCTTATAACTTAATTAACCCATATTTTTTAATCTTTGTTCTGCTGTGAGGCTCTCTAGACCTTTCCTCAGTATGGCGTGTCCGACTTGCTCCGAGTCTGCTGGTGAAACCTGTGTACCTAGATTCCTCCTCCCAGTGCCTCTCTGCCCAGAAGTCCTGCCTGTTTTCTCCTGCCATTCAGCTTTTTATTAAACCATTCAGAAGGCGCCTTAGACAGAGACACAACTTTACAGTGTACAAAAAGATTATCCCACAGCACATGGAGGCAGGAGCGGGAAGCAGCTGGTCACCTCACATGCACAGACAGTCCTGCCCAGATCAGACATCCCCATGTCAGGTAACATACTCAGGCCCCCACAGGCACGCCCAGAGGCCTGTATTTCAAGTGAGTCTAGGTCCTGTCCCACTGAAAACACCATCCTGCTGCACAAACCACTCCAGCACTCAGTTTAAAAAGCCAGGTGCAGAAGGGTATAGTGGCGAACACCTTTAATCCCAGGCAGATTGATCTCTGAGTTCAGGGCACATTGTGAGAGAGTATGCCTAAAAAAAAAAAGTGTGTGCAGGTGGTGAGGGGGAGGGTTGGGAGAGCTGGAGAGACGTCTCAGTGGTTAAGAACTTGTATTGCGCTGGCAGAGGACATGAGTTCAGTCCCCATTACCCATGTTGAGCCACACATAGCTACCTGTAACCTCAGCTCCCGATGATCCTATGCATCTGGTCTCTGAACTGCACCTGCACACACTTGGGCATATCCCCACACAAACATTCATATACATATTTTTTTTTTCCAGACAGGGTTTTTCTATGTAGCCCTGACTGTCATGGAACTCGCTCTGCAGACCAGGCTGGTCTTGACCTCAGAGATCTGCCTGCCTCTGCCTCTCTAGTGCTGGCATTAAAGATGTGTGCCACCACTGCCCAGCTTCATACACATAATTTTAAAAAATCTTTAAAAATCCAGATACAGTGGGCTTGCCTTGTAATCCCAGCTCTGGGGAGGTGGAGATTGGAGGATCCCTGAGGTTCATTGGCCAGCCAGTATTGTGTGGTATTTTGACTTCATTCTGACAATAAAGCTTGCTTTGAGTCAGAGGGCAGAGCTAGCTACTAGCTGACCAAAATTAACCATAAAGGTGTGGAGGACTGTGGACCTCTAGGAGACAGGAAGTAGTAAAGAGGGCCTGAGAGGGGATCTCAGCCCTTTTGGAGGAAGGAATGGAAGAGGTAGGAGGTAACTGGCTTCTCAGCTTCTCTGATCACTCAGGTTCTTATCCCAATATCTGGCTCCCAGTTTTTTATTGATAAAAAATAATTAGTTAAATGCTTCACCTGGCTTCCAACTTGAGACACAAATTCACAAGATAGCCACTTGCCTCTGGCTTTGCAGCCACCAGCAGCTGCTGCACCATTGGCTGGCTTTTTCTTTCTTTCCCCAAGCCCTCTGAGAGAGTCTGGAATTTTTCTGTTGCAGCCTCTCTACAACAGTCTCCAGCTGCCACCCAAACTCCACAGTCCCCAAACTCCCAAGGTACCTGGGTTCCAAACACCACTGGACTTGGCTGCCCACCAGCGGCTGGCTCTGCCTTCAGGCTCCATGCATCACTTCCTGCTACACATGTTGTTTTGCATGTCCTGTCCAATTTTCAGTTGGTTGGCTCCTCCCTGTGGGTTGTGGGCTTCCTTGGATCCCCTCCTAGGGCTGCTGCCATACTAGGGTAGCCACCTTGACACCTGCTTGGGCTTCTATTGTTATTGCGACTGCCACACACTCTCAGCTCACAGCTACACATAATCAGCAGCAGCTGCACTCGGCCAGGCTGTGTACTGTGTTCTCTGCTACACAGCGATAGCCAGCCTCACACTTCACCACCATCATCAGCAGATTTGGTGAGACAACTGAGGATTCTTAAAGGGGGGATTAGTTAAAAAAAAAAAAAAAAA